GGTTCAGCGGCAGACACGGACGCGCGCGACAGCGGCAGACGCGACTCGAAGCGACAGCGGACTCGGACTCCGCGCGACAGTGGCTGACGCCTAACGCGATGCGACTCGCGAAGCGACGCGGGTCAAACTCGGACTCCGCGTGGGCAGCTTCGGTCAGCCCCGGTCAGGGCGGGCAGCGGGTCATTTTCGGGTTTCCGGGTCAACCCGAACCCGACCCGATTTTTCAAACGGGTCGAAAACTCGAACCCGAACCCGACCCGATTCGGGTTCGGGTTGACCCGAACCCGAAATTTTCGAGTCGGGTCCGGGTCGGGTTTTCGTGTCGTGTCAAATATTGACAGCCCTAGCTCAGGTGTTACCGACATTCGAATTCAACATATATTTTAAGAGATATTAAAATTATTTCTTATCATATAATTATTTTAATATGTGTTTAAACTTTATAGTGAAATCTATAGTTATTATTATTGTATTATATTCTTGTTGTGTCTTGGAACATTCACAGTGGTAGAGAGATATAAGGTTTAACGTCCAAACTTTGTATGAAGATCTAACACTAGACATATAAAAAAAGAGGGGTGTAAGAGTCATAGGAGATACCAAAAATTTTTAAGTGAAAACCCGTGAAAAAAGAAAAAATCATGGGACCTATCTCAATTTGAATTAATGTACAAGTATTTGTTGTTAAATACAAATGATGTCATTCATTGAGGAAAGGTATTGGCTCAATGTTGCAAAAACACATCATATATTTGGGTTAAAAAGGTCGAAAGGATAGTAGTTAGAAACTGACGGAGATTGCGTGGAAGGATTGTAGTTTGGCGAAGGAGGTCGAAGGGACAATTTTTAGGTGATAGAGGTCAGATAGACCATAGTCGGGGGGGCGACAATGGTCTAAGGACAAATGCAGGTTCTCGAAGTTGCAGAAATCATAATCGATGTGCGACGGAGATCAGAGGGACAATAGTCGGCTGGCAACAGATGTTGGAGGATGAAGAAAGTCAGAGGAACCATAGTCGACAGGTGACGGAGGTCGGAATGACCATAGTCGATGAGTGATAGTGGTCAGGGGGATTGTTGTCAGTAGACGACAGAGGTCAGAGGTCGGGCAACAGAGGTTAGAGGTCGGGCAACAGAGGTCAGAGGGACTGTAGTTGGCCATCAACATAGTTAGAGGGAAGGTAGTTGGTGGGCTACAGTAGTCAGAGAGGACGTAGTGAGCATGCGACGGTGGTTAGAGGGACCGTAGTAGGCTGGCAACGACTATTAGAGGGAGGGACCATAGTTTGCTGACAATGAAGGTCTAAAGAGCTTAGTCGACGGGCAATGAAAGTCGGACGAAGGTCATATGATGGTTGTCGGGTGGAGGTCTGGTGATGATGGTTGAATAGAGGTCCAACAACAGTGGCCTGATGATGAGGTTCGCCAGTGATGGTGCCGAAGTGGAGCTCAAGGATGCTTAAAGCCTTAGAGCTCTCTTGAGTCTCTAGCCTTGGGTCTAAGCCTCCAAAAGTCCTAGCCCCTTTCATGCGGGAAGAGATAATCTATCTATAGCATTTGAGAGTGGCATTCCTTGAAAATATGTAGAAGATCTAAGGCAAATTTGAAGTGTTCCATCCGATGGCTCATACTAACTTCCTTGATGATGAAACATTTGTTAAGCATTTAAGTTCCTTTGTGATGGCATAATAAAGCAACCATCAGTTCGTTGAATTCATCTCATCGAGCCGCTTGATTTGATGATAAGCATGTCATATTTCGAGATCATTTGATCATCAACTTAATGCTTTGAACATTTCAAACATGCTTCAGTCTTTTGATTTGAGCTCATTTGGGCTCAGATTGGACTAATTTTGATGTTGTTGGGTTCGTCTAACTATGACATTTAATTTGATTATGAGCTTGTTGAAGTTTAGACTATCCCAAATTTAATTTTGGGAAATTCCAATTTGGATATACCTCATGATTCATGCTCGATCATGATGATTTTTAGGTAAAGTATCAATTCTCATCACTAAAAATATGTTCATATAATCATATCTTTTATTTTAGATTTATGGTACTCACAATAAAACAAAAGTTGCGGCTGCAAATGTGCAGGAGGGCTTTCGTATAAATAAAAATTTTAAAGGTATGTAACTACAAAACGAACTGGACAAACGTGCAAGATTTTCTTCTCTTAAACCGCTTACAAGAAAGCATATTCAGCACGCTATATTCTCGTACTCTTTCCTTCTCTTTCTATATTTCTTTCTCTCTCTATATTATATATATTCCAATCCCTCCGATCTCCGGACAATAACAGAGAGAAAAAACCATGGAGGAGCTAATGGAGTTTCAGGTGATTTGGCCGGAGAACGAGGAACGTCCGATCACCATCGAATGGTATTCAGATGAGGCTGAAGGCGACACGAGAGACTTCCATAGGCGAGAAGCGGCGGCGCCGGTGAGCATACAGAGGCCAATGGGCTGGAGGCCGCCGGTTTCAGATTCCGATTCGGATTCGGAGTCGGAGTCGGAGTCGGAAGACATGGTTCCGCCGCACGTTCTGGTGGCCCGGAGGTGGAGTGAACCGTCGTCGGCGGCGGCTTTCTCGCTGTGCTCCGGTCCCGGACGCACGCTCAAGGGCCGCGACCTGAGGAATGTTCGCGATTTCGTTCTGCGGATGACGGGGTTCCTGGAGACATAGATTAAGGATTTGGGTTCATTAGATGATGCCGCGAGACACCACACCGAAAGTTTTTTTATATAGATTATTACACAAAAACTGAGATTAAAAATATGTAAATAAAGTAATTTTTTGAGCTGAATGTATAAATATCATTTTGATAAAACATATCATCATGTTCTCATATAACTTGTAATGATAGAATAAAATATTCTTAATAATAAGATGAACTAAAATATGAAAATATTAATATTACTTTTTTTATTTTTGTTATTTCTTTTCAAATAACTTTTAATTTTAATTATTTCTCTTATAATTACTATAATTCTGATAAAGATCACATATTCACATTAGAATTGTTTATTTATAAAATCTTTTTTTTTTTTAGTTTGATGATATATATATATGGTGTTATTAGTGTAATTTTATGGGGAAATTGTAGGCTTAAATATAGTTAGATATGCTTTGAGATTAGTATAGAAAAATTATTCATGGCTTTGATTGAATAAATTTTTTGACAACCATAATTATAAGTGTTTTATATGATGCTAATTATGATTTAAATGTCATTATAGTGCAAGGCTATGTCAAAGAATATGAGTGTCATCAATATGTTTTTCCTTTTATCTACTTACCTACCAATGATAGGAATGAGCATAAAGCTCAATAAATATAAGGAAATCAAACATTGTAAGCAATTAATAGAAGAAAGGGACAATATGCATGTTTTCTATTAATCAATCACATTTATTAAAGATATTTATAGGCATAGTTAATCATTTATCAATTAAACTAACGATAAATTCTAAATGAATTATAATAATAACAAGTAACTCATTTTGATCTGTTGGTTGACTTCAACCAGGCCAGAAGGTCTTGGGTTCGAAGCTTTGTGTCATAACCTAACACGATATGACATGATATTACAAAGGTTATACTATCATGTCAGATTGTGGCAGAGCTGATCCTAAGATTAAATTGGAGAAGTACTAAAATAAAACTTTCAATTTATGTACTAAATAAAGCCACTATATATTCAATTCAATATAAAGCGGAAGACTACAGAAACTCAACATGATTTTCAATATATCATTCAAAACATATTTAATCTTAAATATATCTACAACAGCACTTGATGACAGAGGAAATAACAAGATAAAAGTCAAACCTGCAAATATATATATATATATATTAACATCACATATTAGGGCATATTATCCAAACCATTCAGCTTGCTTCTTATCCTTTCCTTGCTTTGAAAACAAAAGCAAAAATAGGGATGAACTAACACAGCTCAATAGGCCATCATAGTAAAAAAAAAAAAATTGAAAACTAAACTGAAATATATATTTAAATTGAATACAATTAAAAAAAATAATGAAATTAACTAAATTATAAACAAACATTTCATAATGATTATCATAGTAGCTCTTAAGCCCAAATTTTTATATATCTTTGTTACCAAAATCCCACCTCAGCACCCATTGGCACTGGCATAACAGAATTCCACCTCGGTCACCCACAGGTCTAGGCATCACAACACTTCGTCAACAAAATTCCATGCTCACTTATGTGCTTGCATCACAACACTTCAGTAAAAAATTTTCACATGGATTGCCGGCATTACATCACATCACATCACATCACATTTCTTTCATATTTTTTCAATGCATTTCATTAATTAAATCATAACTGGATTGAATTTTAAAAAATTGCCAAAATGTCCTAATAGTAGACAACAGAAATACTATTGAGCAAAAATTCACAATTTTTAAAAAATAATAATCAAATTATCATGAATTGTGTAAAATATCATTATGAAGTTTTTATTGAACTAAAACTCTATTTTTAGATGTCATAATAAATTTTTAAGTAGACAAAAATCTCAATTTTTTTAAAATCATCCTGCAAAAAAAATTGAGAATATACTGAAAATATTCATAATCTCAATTTCTATAACATATAAAAAGTTACGTGTCAAAAATTTTATCAAGGGAAAGTTATATTCATTTTTCGATCAAAGAATTATAAATTTGATATGAAAAATATCAAAAATATTAAATTATTGAAAAATAAAATAGGCAAAAAAGTAACATATCTCAAGACGAGCAAATTTCTCAACTGAAACGACAAGCAAAAACACAATATGATTACTAAATACTAACTATTTTTCTCTCTCTCCTTTCTTTCTTCTCAATTCTCGCAAACCCTTTTCTTTTAACGAAAACAAAAAGGGAAATGAGATTGAAAGTCATTTTAATAATATATTATGCTTTTAATTTTTTTAGCAAAATAATAATATAATAATATTATTATGGTATATTTTTAGTGTAAAATTCATAAAAATTCTTTTAGGGATTCCAAAAATTTTAAAAAAATAACTATAAATAGCTCATTTTATTTAAAATTTTTTGACAAAATCGATTTGAAAAATGAATACTTGATCCCAAAACCCCCACTTGTACTGTTAGGTATCAATTTTTTAAAGAATTTTACTGGTACCCAAAAATTATAAAAAATTGGTTAAACGAAAACACAATATTTGATATGCTATGACAAAGACAATTTGTGTATTTGACTTATAATGAATTCTAAATAAATTCTTAACTATTGTAGGTAAAAATATATTTTTAATTTTTTTTAATTATAATACTTTGTGTGTATTTTATTTCAAAAGTTTTCCATTCAAAGATTATCTTGAGATTTATGTAGATCATATGAATTTTTTTGGAGTTTATCAAAATTAAAATATATTGAAATAAAATTAAAATAATATTATAGATAAGTTTATCTTTACAAAAAAAATTAAAAATTTATTTTAATTTTAAAAATTTTAATTCAAATTACTCCAAATGCAATTTTTGTGCAATTATTTAGGAATATCCTTTGTTTAAAATGGCTTATGAATTAAGATACTAAATTAGTAGATTTGCATACATAAAATTCAAAATTTTCATATTTACATATTTAATATCAACATTTTACAATTTACATATGTTATCACTCTATTAAATCTTTTCAAGCACGTAACGGGTAGAAAAAATTGTGCGGGATCACAAAGTGATAATTCGTTGAAGGCCATCGACCAGACAACGACATGTTTATACAAAGAGAAACTCGTGACCAGGTCAACTTAGGGATTCTCATCAACGAGACCAACAACTTCTACTACATTGAAACTCTCGATGAAGAAAAAGATGAGGGAAGTTGCAAGAGATGGTAGAAATTATTCTGTGCAGACTCTGGACGGAAAGAATCGTCCGGACACATGTGATTGTGCACACTATGTATATATTTGTACACAGTGTGTATCAAATTTTATACATATTGCATACACACTGTGTGTACAACCACAATCTGAACGGTTCTTTCTGTTTGGACTCCGCACAAAATAAATTCTCCGTTGAGAGGGCCAACAATGCCGCACTTAAGCCCTCGTGGATGTCTCGACGAAGAAGAAGAAGAGTGATAGTCATAATGGGCCAGGATAAAAAGTCATATTTTTAAAGTTATTTATAAATATTTATGTAGTAAATATATAAATAAAAATATGTCGAGTGGTTGCGTGTTAAGTCATTTTATTATCTTTACTAGCAAATTCTATTTGAAGTTCTTCCCTTATAATTCTTTTGCTTGTCTATTTATTCTAAATATCTTAGCATTCGGTGCATTTATTCTAAATAATAATGCAATCTACAAGTTTTATGAAAATACTTATAAAAATATGAATTCAATTTAAAATAATGTTTATTTATTTTAATAAATTGAAATTAACATGTAAATGAATTTTTTAAAATCATGAAATTCAATTTTTATAAAAATAATTATTTGTTTGTGAGATTTTTCTCAAAATTTGTAAGAAACATTCTATGAACTTTTAGTACAAAAATAGTTTGCGCTTGCTTTGACTTTGTTTAGGATAGATTTCACAAAATTATTTTAAAAGCAACTAAAAGGCATAAAGGTTACGACCTGAAAAACAAAGTAGTAAAAAAGCCATTTCAGTTGAAGCTTTAATTAACATATTAGACTCGCGAGCCGGCTCGGGTTTGACTAGTTGAGCTTATCGAGCTCGTGAGTCGAGCTCGAACAGGATTTCGAGCTCAACGGGCTTATTGAGCTCGAATAGCCCTCCGGTCAACTCGATTTCTCTAGTGGCTTGCCGAAAGCGGAATGATGGTGAACGATGGATTTCATGCATGCAGATGACGGATCGCATGCCTGAAGACGAGAACCACACACTTGGTTGTGGGATATGTCGGGATTGGAGTCGGACATCGAACGCAGGAAAATGAAAGGTCGGACATCAAATGAATGTTAGGATCGCACGTGGTCGGGTTTGTGGGCGGCAAATCGAAACTGTGGGCAGGAAAACGAAAGGTCGAACGGTGCCATACGTGGGATCGAAACTCGGGCATGAAATCGGAGCTTGAAACTTCGAATCGAGCAGCTCGACGAACTCGTTTCAGTGGGATGAGTCGAGCTACTTTTGTGCTCGACTCTAGTTAAAGTTCAGTATTTGACTCACGAGTCAAGTTCGAACAACCCCTGACTCATCTGCACGGTTGACTTGACTCATCTGCACGTACCGATAGGACGGGTCATCCAACTAATAGAATAGGGTCAAAATAAAATTAAAGATTAATACGCGGATATGCCGAAGAAAGTTTTCTTCATGCAACGACTTCAAAGCTTTGATAACAGTAGAAGAAAGAGGAGCTTATAGAACGTAAGCAATTACGTAGTTTCTACTTGTAGAGAAATTCTAATTCACGAATAAATAATATTCGAAAATAGCTTTCTAAATAATAAGAAGGGCAATAGAGCTTTGGAATTTGCTGATTTTTCTACAGAAAAATGAAGCAAAAGAGGAAATACGAAAAAAAATGTGGAAGCGATGACAAGGGGGTGTAAATGAGTCGAGTCGACCTCGACTCACGAGTCAAAGTTGAACTCAAGTTGAGCTCAAAGATGAGCCACACTGAAAAACGAGCTGATGCGTATAATCACTAATTCACTATTATTAATTAGATAAATAAAGTATAATATATGAAA